AATTTTAATGAAATTTTAACCAATGAACAAACTATTAAGAATAATTCACCAATTAATGACATTTTACCGAAAGAAAGAAAAACAAGAAACCTAAATTAAATACAAATTTATTATGGGTTTCTTTACTTTTTTTATTTTTTGCCCCTTTCTCGATTCGTTTAACTTTTTTGAACTTTTTTTTACCACAACTATCTTCGCACAATGAGAATCTCTCATGTACACGAACGAATTTCTTTTCTTCAACTTCATTTCCAAAATCAAAAAGATTTATTTTTTCTTTCTGAAAATTATGAAATGTTGATAGGAAAAGGTCACATTCTTTGGCTGTGAAGTCATTAAGTAATTTGATTTTTTCTTTTTTCATTTCTTAAAAAAAAAAATAAATCGTTTTTTGGTATCTTTCAGATATTTCAAACCCGTACACGTTTAACCGTTTTTTTTGTTTTCAAGACAACGACTGCGTTCACTGAAGCATTCAAACACTGACTGATTGTGACTGAAAGACAACTGACTGAACTTGAAACTGGTCTTAGAAAGAAAAGAGAAGAGGAAAACACTGTGATCGCAAATGATACATTTTGTATTTCAAAACTTTGTTTTTATCTCAGCTCTCTTCTTGTTGTTCTCTTTTAATTAAACTTTGTTATTTCCTTAGCGGTTTATGGTTTGTTTATAATTTCCCAGTAAACAAAAAAGCTATTAATTCCAAAAAGTATTCGAATTTTATTTCAATACAATCGGAAAAAAATAAAATTTTTGAAAAGATTCTCCAAGGCCCTCTAATAAAAACAATAAAAAATAAAGTTTTTTAAATATTCAGAAATGTGACCTTTGACCTGCAGGTAAAAAACTCATATTTTAGAGATTTATTTAAAAAACTTTCTAATAAACACCTTTTTTCATTCACGGGGTTATAACTATTATTAAACAACTTTGTTATTGTTCTCTTACATGTTCCCTGAGATACTTAGCTCATCAGAATGTATCTGCTCAACTCTAGATACAAATGTATTATAGCTGTATATCGTCTGCATTTATTTTTACAGTTTCAAAATTTTTTTGTGTATCTCTCTCTCTGTTTTGTTCGTTTTCGTTTTACGGTTTTCAATTTCAAGTTTACAATCGATCTTATGTACCCCACAACTCAGATTGTTTGCTGTTGTTGTGTTTAGGCCGTTGTTTGCTGTTCGTTTTTTTTACTTTTTTTATTTCAATTTTGGCAAAAATTTCTCATTTCCAGCACGCGATCATCAATCATTATTTAGTAACATAGTTAGAGAGTGTGTGTTGTTTAAGTTTGTTTTGTAATTTTTTAAATCTATTTTATTGTGAATTTTTAATGTTGTATACATAAATGTGCATAGATATGTACGTAGTTGGACTGTTATAGCTTAGTTACGTTAGAAAATCTGTGGGATACTGATACAAATCAGTTTTGAACTAGAACAAAACTAGAAACTGAACTAGGGACTGAACTAGAATGAACTAGACTGAAACTAGAACTGAACTAGAATGAACTAGAACTGAACTAGAACTGAACTAGACTGAACTAGAACTGAACTAGAACTGAACTAGAACTGAAACTAGAACTGAACTAGAACAGAACTAGAACTGAACTAGAACTGGAAACTAGAACTGAACTAGAAACTAGAACTGACTAGAACTGAACTAGAACTGAACTGAACTGAACTAGAACTGAACTAGACTGAACTAGAATGAACAGCACTGAACTAGAACTGAACTAGAACTGAAACTATAGCTGAACTAGAGCTGAACTAGAACTGAACTAGAACTGAACTAGAAACTGAACTAGAACTGAACTAGAACTGAACTAGAAACTGAACTAGAAACTGAACTAGAACTGAACTAGAAACTGAAACTAGAACTGAACTAAAACTCGAACTAGAACGGAACTAGAAACTGAACTAGAACTGAACTTGAACTGAACTCGAACAGAACTAGGCCTAACACTAGATTGAACTAAACTAGAACTGAACTATAGCTGAACTAGAACTGAACTATACGCTGAACTAGAACTGAACTAGAACTGAAACTAGAACTGAACTAGAACTGAACTAGAACTGAACTAGAACTGAACTAGAACTGAACTAGAACTGAACTAGAACTGAAACTAGAACGAACTAGAACTGAACTAGAACTGAACTAGAACTGAACTAGAACTGAACTAGAACTGAACTAGAACTGAACTAGAAACTGAACTAGAACTGAACTAGAACTGAACTGGAACTGAACTAGAACTGAACTAGAACTGAACTAGAACTGAACTAGAACTAAACTAGAACATAACTGGAATTGAACTAGGACAAAAGTATACTAGTTAGTTAGTTAGTTAGTTAGTTAGTTAGTTAGTAGTTAGTTAGTTAGTTAGTTAGTTAGTTAGTTAGTAGTTAGTTAGTTAGTTAGTTAGTTAGTTAGTAGTTAGTTAGTAGTTAGTTAGTTAGTAGTTAGTAGTAGTTAGTTAGTTAGTTAGTTAGTTAGTAGTTAGTAGTTAGTTAGTTAGTTAGTAGTTAGTTAGTTAGTTAGTTAGTGTTAGTTAGTTTGAAAGGAGGATGTAATACATCAAATCCGAAGAAATACACCTAGGCCCTCTATCGGGCCTGTTGTGCGCTCCTTACCAGTGCCTCAGGTGGGAATCGAACCCACCACCTCCGGTCACCAGACTAGAACACTAACCACTAACTACCGGAGGCCACTGAACTAGAAATGAACTAGAACTGAACTAGAACTGAAACTAGAAACTGAACTAGAACTGAACTGGAACTGAACTAGAACTGAACTAAACTGAACTAGAACTGAACTAGAACTAAACTAGAACATAACTGGAATTGAACTAGGACAAAAGTAAACTAGTTAGTTAGTAGTTAGTTAGTTAGTTAGTAGTTAGTTAGTTAGTTAGTTAGTTAGTTAGTAGTAGTAGTTAGTTAGTTAGTTAGTTAGTTAGTAGTTAGTGTTAGTTAGTTAGTTAGTTAGTTAGTTAGTTAGTTAGTTAGTTAGTTAGGTAGTTAGTTAGTTAGTGTTAGTTAGTTAGTTAGTAGTTAGTAGTAGTTAGTTAGTTAGTTAGTTAGTTAGTTAGTTAGTAGTTAGTTAGTTAGTTAGTTAGTTAGTAGTTAGTTAGTTAGTTAGTTAGTTAGTTAGTTAGTTAGTTAGTTAGTTAGTTAGTTAGTTAGTTAGTTAGTTAGTTAGGAGTTAGTTAGTAGTTAGTAGTTAGTTAGTTAGTAGTTAGTTAGTAGTTAGTAGTTAGTTAGTTAGTTAGTTAGTTAGTTAGTTAGTTTAGTTAGTTAGTAGTAGTAGTTAGTTAGTTAGTTAGTTAGTAGTTAGTTAGTTAGTTAGTTAGTTTTAGTAGTTAGTTAGTTAGGTAGTTAGTTAGTTAGTTAGTTAGTTAGTTAGTTAGTAGTAGTTAGTAGTAGTTAGTTAGTTAGTTAGTAGTTAGTTAGTTAGTTAGTTAGTTAGTTAGGTAGTAGTTAGTTAGTTAGTTAGTTAGTTAGTAGTTAGTTAGTTAGTTAGTTAGTAGTAGTTAGTTAGTAGTACTAGTTAGTTACTTAGTTAGTTACGAGTTAGTTAGTTAGTTAGTTAGTTAGTTAGTAGTTAGTTAGTTAGTTAGTAGTAGTTAGTTAGTTAGTTTAGTTAGTTAGTTAGTTAGTTAGTTAGTTAGTTAGTTAGTAGTAGTTAGTTAGTTAGTTAGTAGTTAGTTAGTTAGTTAGTTAGTTAGTTAGTTAGTTAGTTAGTTAGTTAGTTAGTTAGGTAGTTAGTTAGTAGTTAGTTAGTTAGTAGTTAGTTAGTTAGTTAGTTAGTAGTTAGTTAGTTAGTTAGTTAGTTAGTTAGTTAGTAGTTTAGTTAGTTAGTTAGTTAGTTAGTTAGTTAGTTAGTTAGTTAGTTAGGTAGTTAGTTAGTTAGTTAGTTAGTTAGTTAGTTATAGTTAGTTAGTTATGTTAGTTAGTTAGTTAGTTAGTTAGTCGTAGTTAGTTAGTTAGTTAGTTAGTAGTTAGTTAGTTAGTTAGTTAGTTAGTTAGTTAGTTAGTTAGTTAGTTAGTTAGTTAGTTAGTTAGTAGTTAGTAGTTAGTTAGTTAGTTAGTAGTTAGTTAGTTAGTTAGTTAGTTAGTTAGTTAGTTAGTAGTTAGTTAGTTAGTTAGTTAGTTAGTTAGTTAGTTAGTTAGTTAGTTAGTAGTTAGTTAGTTAGTTAGTTAGTTAGTTAGTTAGTTAGTTAGTTAGTTAGTTAGTTAGTAGTTAGTTAGTTAGTTAGTTAGTTAGTTAGTTAGTTAGTTAGTTAGTTAGTTAGTTATTAGTAGTTAGTTAGTTAGTAGTTAGTTAGTTAGTTAGTTAGTTAGTTAGTTAGTTAGTAGTTAGTTAGTTAGTTAGTAGTTAGTTAGTTAGTTAGTTAGTTAGTTAGTTAGTTAGTTAGTTAGTGTAGTTAGTTAGTTAGTTAGTTAGTAGTTAGTTAGTTAGTTAGTTAGTTAGTAGTTAGTTAGTTAGTTAGTTAGTTAGTTAGTTAGTTAGTTAGTTAGTTAGTTAGTTAGTTAGTTAGTTAGTTAGTTAGTAGTTAGTTGGAATGAAAACGGTGGGTATGGGGTGGGTATAAATACTTCTATTATTATTTATAGAAATTCTATATATAATTAAAAGCCCAGTTCGCCGTTAAAGGTTGTTCATCTCTGATAAAGCACAAAGCTCCAACAAAATGACGTCGAAAGATTAGCTAAAGCTTTTTCATACTAAATGAACGTTTGTTTGGAAAGCTTTGGCATTTGAAAACATTAAAAAGCTCTATTTAACGATATGTACAAATGATAAGATTACAATTATCTTTAGCAATACAATTTAAAACGAAAAAATAATTATTAAATAGTTTATTTATAACGGATTATAGACAAAATATTAAAAATTAGTCATAGTTTTGAAATAAGTTAAAAATTTAATTATTTTTAAACAAAATTAAACAATTATTTCCTGCTTTTTTAAATCTAATTTAGGTCAAAACTTACCCTTCTTCCTAAAAATTTATCAAAAAGCTCCTCTATTTTATCCATTATGGCAGTTTAAAGGCACAATTTTAAACTTGATATTAAAATAATGAAATTATTTAAATAATTTTCTTTTAATATGTCTTTAATATTTGCTTTTTTTTTAATATTAAATTTAAGTTTATTTCATTTTTGTTAAATTATGTAACATATTTTTTCCCAAATTATTTAAAAACAAACGTTAATACACTTTTCATTCACGCTTATTCACTTGCTAACTCGGAAATGAACTAAAATATGTACTAACTTCTTTTTAACAATTGATTAGTTGTTGCTGCAAAACTGAACCGTAAAAAGTCCCCAAAATGTTTACCATCATATTGATGGCCAAAATATACCCACAAACGTCCAATATACCGCAATACTATCAATCGTAACAAATTATTATCGTTAGACCTTAAAAAACAATATCGTACGTTATCACTTAACAATAATTTTTTTTTCTTTTATAAAACTTATTAATTTTTACAACAACAATAGAAAAAAGAGAATTCTTTAAACTATACGTAATAAAAATAATCAATTAATTTGGAAAAGAAATATTAATCGTATTTTTTTTTTTTCAGAAAACGTATTATCAATCCGTTTTTAATTGAGAATAAAATTTAACTAAAATGAGTTATACTTCATATGTATTTCAAATCTTATCGTACTAGTACTTCTCAGTATTGGGCTCTAATTCGGTAGACGCCCATATGGTGTAGTTATAGATAATATTTCTTTTTTATTTAGTTTTTACTCAGTTTCTCCATAAGTATGAAGGTAATCCCTCCATTATCAGTCATTGGATCTTATCTAATAATATTATTATATTTTTTATTTTGTTTTTATTATTACTTTTTTATGAATTTAAATGATGAAGCAAAAATTTAAAAAATAAAAGAAATTTTTTTAATTTAAACGTTATGATAAAAGTTATAAAAAATGTTGTTAAATATTTAGGAGATTCTAGTAAAAGGTTAAATCGGCTAATAACGTTTTTCGTCTGTCATAATACCCAGGTCATACGTATACAATCACTCAATGCAAGACTAAGATCTAGTTCAGTTCTAGTTCAGTTCTAGTTCAGTTCTAGTTCAGTTCTAGTTCAGTTTCTAGTTCAGTTCTAGTTTCAGTTCTAGTTCAGTTCTAGTTTCAGTTCTAGTTTCAGTTCTAGTTCAGTTCTAGTTCAGTTCTAGTTCAGTACTAGTTCAGTTCTAGTTCAGTTCTAGTTCAGATCTCAGTTCAGTTCAGTCAGTTCTAGTTCAGTTCTAGTTCAGTTCTAGTTCAGTTCTAGTTCAGTTCTAGTTCAGTTCTAGTTCAGTTCTAGTTCAGTTCTAGTCAGTTCTAGTTCAGTTCTAGTTCAGTTCTAGTTCAGTTCTAGTTCAGTTCTAGTTCAGTTCTAGTTCAGTTCTAGTTCAGTTCTAGTTCAGTTCTAGTTCAGTTCTAGTTCAGTTCTAGTTCAGTTCTAGTTCAGTTCTAGTTCAGTTCTAGTTCAGTTCTAGTTCAGTTCTAGTTCAGTTCTAGTTCAGTTCTAGTTCAGTTCTAGTTCAGTTCTAGTTCAGTTCTAGTTCAGTTCTAGTTCAGTTCTAGTTCAGTTCTAGTTCAGTTCTAGTTCAGTTTAGTTCAGTTCTAGTTCAGTTCTAGTTCAGTTCTAGTCAGTTCTAGTTCAGTTCTAGTTCAGTTCTAGTCAGTTCTAGTTCAGTTCTAGTTCAGTTCTAGTTCGTTCTAGTTCAGTTCTAGTTCAGTTCTAGTTCAGTTCTAGTTCAGTTCTAGTTCAGTTCTAGTTCAGTTCTAGTTCAGTTCTAGTTCAGTTCTAGTTCAGTTCTAGTTCAGTTCTAGTTCAGTTCTAGTCAGTTCTAGCTTCAGTTCTAGTTCAGTTCAGTTCAGTTCTAGTTCAGTTCTAGTCAGTTCTAGTTCAGTTCTAGTTCAGTTCTAGTTCAGTTCTAGTTCAGTTCTAGTTCAGTTCTAGTTCAGTTCTAGTTCAGTTCTAGTTCAGTTCTAGTTCAGTTCTAGTTCAGTTCTAGTTCAGTTCTAGTTCAGTTCTAGTTCAGTTCTAGTTCAGTTCTAGTTCAGTTCTAGTTCAGTTCTAGTTCAGTTCTAGTTCAGTTCTAGTTCAGTTCTAGTTAGTTCTAGTTCAGTTCTAGTTCAGTTCTAGTTCAGTTCTAGTTCAGTTCTAGTTCAGTTCTAGTTCAGTTCTAGTTCTAGTTCAGTTCTAGTTCAGTTATACTTTGAAGTACAGTGTTATTTACACAATTCCGAAAATATACTTACAAATATTTTGACAACAGTTATAAATATGTTTGATGTATAATCCATCAAATACGTGATAACATTGATGCCATAATTAGTTATTGTAATTACTTGTCAATGCACTTCCCAGATAACAATTTAAGACACAACCTCCAGACAGAAAATTAATTGTAAGGCTTTTATTCATAAATATTTGTTAAAGTTTTATTAACGAAATTTTCATACAAAATTTTGTTCTATAAACCATCGATAAAGCTTTATGAATAAGACCAAAATAAATAAAGAAATTTAGCATTTGCTTTGAATACATACATATGTATGTATAATGTGCATCCTTCGCTATAGTACCAGCACGTGCCATAACATAGTACTTCAACTAAATTTGAAAGCTGATAACTAAATATATTCTGTAAATCCCCTCGATATGTTAAAGCATAAAGTCCAGATGTTTAGTCATATTTATCTGATAAGAAAACCTACATAACAGTAAAATCTCTTGTATTACAATTTCAGCAAAATAGTGAGATATGACTCATAAACTTGTGATAAATCACAAGTGCAAGTTTTTCATAACGATTTTTGATCAATGATTAAAAAATCGTTATAATAATAGAATAGTATTATTTCCAAGTAAAATTTTTAGGATCAGGAAACTAAAATTCATAAATCACAACTTTTTCGTGCAGCAGAAAATGTTGCAAATTAAATTTATTTATTAATATTTATTTATTTATTTACAAATTAAATTATTTATAAAATCGCACACATTATAAATAGTGTCTTTATATAATTTTCCGATACATATATGTATATATTGACAAGTTTTTTACTTTTGTATATTTCAATCAATCAATGAAACATGCATACATTCGTAGAATAATTAGTCACATATTTTGTAAGTTCAATAATGGAAATAGATAAATATATCGTATATCTTAAACAAATTCCAGCAGGTAAACGTATAATGACTAATACTTATTTAAAATTTTTCTTTTTTTTATTTTTTTACATCTAAATATTGAATTAGTAAATGCCATGTTTTATAAGCAAATATCGAACTTTGTTTCGTTAGAACTGAACTAGAACTGAACTAGAACTGAACTAGAACTGAACTAGAACTGAGCTAGAACTGAGCTAGAACTGAGCTAGAACTGAACTAGAACTGAACTAGAACTGAACTAGAACTGAACTAGAACTGAACTAGAACTGAACTAGAACTGAACTAGAACTGAACTAGAACTGAACTAGAACTGAACTAGAACTGAACTAGAACTGAACTAGAACTGAACTAGAACTGAACTAGAACTGAACTAGAACTGAACTAGAACTGAACTAGAACTGAACTAGAACTGAACTAGAACTGAACTAGAACTGAACTAGAACTGAACTAGACTGAACTAGAACTGAACTAGAACTGAACTAGAACTGAACTAGAACTGAACTAGAACTGAACTAGAACTGAACTAGAACTGAACTAGAACTGAACTAGAACTGAACTAGAACTGAACTAGAACTGAAATAGAACTGAACTAGAACTGAACTAGAACTGAACTAGAACTGAAGTAGAACTGAACTAGAACTGAACTAGAACTGAACTAGAACTGAACTAGAACTGAACTAGAACTGAACTAGAACTGAACTAGAACTGAACATGAACTGAACTAGATCTGAACTAGAACTGAACTAGAACTGAACTAGAACTGAACTAGAACTGAACTAGAACTGAACTAGAACTGAACTAGAACTGAACTAGAACTGAACTAGAACTGAACTAGAACTGAACTAGAACTGAACTAGAACTGAACTAGAACTGAACTAGAACTGAACTAGAACTGAACTAGAACTGAACTAGAACTGAACTAGAATTGAACTAGAACTGAACTAGAACTAAACTAGAACTGAACTAGAATTGAACTAGAACTGAACTAGAACTGAACTAGAACTGAACTAGAACTGAACTAGAACTGAACTAGAACTGAACTAGAACTGAACTAGAACTGAACTAGAACTGAACTAGAACTGAACTAGAACTGAACTAGAACTGAACTAGAACTGAACTAGAACTGAACTAGAACTGAACTAGAACTGAACTAAGAACTGAACTAAGAACTGAACTAGAACTGAACAAGAACTGAACTAGAACTGAACTAGAACTGAACTAGAACTGAACTAGAACTGAACTAGAACTGAACTAGAACTGAACTAGAACTGAACTAGAACTGAACTAGAACTGAACTAGACTGAACTAGAACTGAACTAGAACTGAACTAGAACTGAACTAGAACTGAACTAGAACTGAACTAGAACTGAACTAGAATGACTAGAACTGAACTAGAACTGAACTAGAACTGAACTAGAACTGAACTAGAACTGAACGAGAACTGAACTAGAACAGAACTATAACTGAACTAGAACTGTACTAGAACTGGACTGAAATTAGATTTAGGAATTGAAAATAAATTATGTATTAATTTTATTAAAATATTAAAGACCTTATAATTAATCAACAAAATAGTTTTTAGATTTTTTTATAATAAAACATCAACTCTAATAACCTATGTGACGTATAATCGATATTCTTACACTAAAAATAAATAATCATTGCTCATACGTCGTGTGATCATAAATAAATAAACTTACCATATTTGCGGCTTAGAAAAATATTAATCCACAGAAATTACGAATTCACAGAAGCAGGAAAATGATGTACAAGGCAGTTAAAGTCGATGTACTATAATGTTAAACTATTGTTAACAATTTAATTTTTGTATTTTTTTTTTAAATTTTTATTAAATTTCTTTGTTCGTTTCTTAATTTATTACACAAGCCATATTTACAATATTTCACTATTATTTTTTGAAAATAAATGAGGATTAGTAACACTTTTGGCAAATATTAAAAAATCGAGAGATACTATTAAAATTCATTAATCATTAATTAATTTTTTTTAATATTTAATTTAATTCTAAAAATACCACGTTTAAGTGTTAACGGTTAGGCATTAATCGACAAATAGAAAGTCAAAATATC